TTCGAACCAAACGAGGTTCAGTGCGGCTTACTTCAGGACTTAGTACTCGGACCCCGCCTGTGCTTAATCTTCATAAATGACCTGGCGAGGGTGCTGACTTCGAATTGTCTACTATTCGCTGCTTATCTAAAGGTATGACATGGTACTAATACAGTGGAGGATAGCACAGCTCTGCAAGATGATCTGGATAAGACACACGGTCCACGGAGAACACGTTCCAGTTCAACGCCGCCAAGTGCAAAGTTCTTAGCACACGTCATCAGAGCTCCGACGACTACCAGCTAAGTCCATTATTTCTACAGCGGGCTTCCCATGAGTGAGGCCTCAGCGTGCTTGTGCAAAATGATGCTTATTGTTTGAGGAAGACTTAAAGGGCGTCACAGAAAGCAAACCATCACTTCAGCCTCCTAAGTAGGACGTTTGGGATATTTGACGCCTCAGTTTTCCCGAAAATGCTTGGCGAGTACGTGAGGCCGCCAGCTGAATGCCCTATATTAGCGTGGCAACCGTAGCAAAAGTGACACCCCACCGCGCTCGACACCGTACAACGCAGCGAGACGAGGAACGTCAGAGTTCTGTCCCACTTTCTCCACGAACTCAGGCTGAAAATACTTAAAGTGTACACGAGAAGTTACAGACGTCTATGACTGAATCTCATAATGGTGTATCAGACACTAAAAACCGCAACCACATGTGCCGCCATCTTTTAGAACTTAGCGAAGCTGTCAGTTTTAGCTGGCCGCGGAACACAGCCGACTGGAATGTGGAGGAAACGTTTCCTCCCGCCGAGTGTCACAGCTTTGGAACGCCCCTCCAACGCACCTATTTAATGCTTATATATATATATATATATATATATATATATATATATATATATATATAGATGATCTCATTACAGATGATGTGCAATCAGAACCATGGCGAAATAAAGGCGGGAAACGAAATACAACATAAGAAAACGACTCCTTTTTCGGTTTCACACACGCCGCTTTGGGTATTTTTGTGCTTTGAAGTGTTATGTTCCATGAGACGTCAACTAATAGGTAACACGGTAGAACAGCACTGTATCCACTGATGCCGGTTGCTCGCCATAGCCTACAAGGTTTCTAAGTACTGACAGTCTGAATCATGTGGTCTCCATCCTGGAAGGCGGACCCTTCCGACAGATGCTAAGCCTGAGGTTGTATTCTTCATGCTCCTTCTCCACCTCATTGATTGTCCACTGCGGCACTTTATCCAATCACTTCTGGGGAGCGCAAATAACGCTCGACGGGGAAGGCGATGGGCTGGCATGCGCAATACGTGGCCGAGCCAACGCATGCAGTGTTGGAGAATAGTGTTTTGAAGACTGGCCCTACTCACTCCAAACACTCGGTCTCGGACCTCTGCGTTGCTTACGTGGTGTTGCCACAACATCCGAGCAATCGTTCGTAGGCAGCGATTGTCGAAGCCTGAAAACCGCTTAATGTCTTCCGACCGAATAGGCCAAGAGTAACAACCGTACAAGAGTACTACACGGACGGAAGCATTGTACGTCCTGCCCTTGAGCTTGAGACTGACATCACGACGACGCCACAGGTGTCTCAGTTTGATGAATGCAAGGCGGGTCTTTGCAATCCGTTTTGAGACTTAATCTCCAACCCCGCCACCAACCGTGATGTAACTACCTAGATAAGTAGGGCAAGTGACTTGCTCCAGAACATGTTCAGCAATGGTGAGCGCGGGTTCAGGCATCTGCCAGTACTGGAGCAGCGTTTTATATTTTCCCGGAGTGAAGCATAAGCCGTACTTAGACGCCTCCATCGCTAAGCGGTCCAAATCGCTTTGAACGGTTTGTGCGTCGTCCCACAGAAAGACGATCTCATCGACGTAGTCCAAGTGCGTAACTCTGTCTCCAGGGAGGAGGTCAATACCGCAGTTCTGGACACCTTCCAGTGCTACTTGGACGACATCTTCGATGGCGAAATTGAAGAGGAAAGGTGAACTAGGGCAACCTTGACGAACACCGCTGGTCACAGCAAACGAAGAAGAGAGTGCGCCGTAAGTCTTGACTTTGCCCGCCGAGTGACTGTAAAGTTCTTTCAGGATGGTTAGAGACTTGTCGGGTACATTTTTCTTCAGTAAACAGTTCCACAACGTAGTTCTGTCTACTGAATCAAATGCTGCTCGGATGTCCAAGAAGACTAGGATTGTTGGCCACTGGTGAATGTGACGCAGTTCGAAAGTTGGCGGAGTGTGAAGATTTGGTCGATGCAGCTTGTTCTTCTCGCTTGTTCTTCTCGGGACAACTCCTCTCTAGTTCTTAAAAACTTGCGAAATAGGACCGACACGAAGATTTTTGGATGCGACAAAGATCAACGAGATTCCGCGGTGGTCACAGCAATTGTCGCGGGAGCCTTTCTTGTAAATCGGAAAAATGACTGATTCTGTTCGTGAGTTCGGTACCTCCTCCTCAGTTCAAACTTTCGAGAACAGCGATAGGATTTCGCTGAAAAGTACACTTCCACCATCTTTGAATATAACCGGTGGTAGGATGTCGGGACCAGGAACCATGTGGCGTTCCAAAAATTGGATGGCATCTCAGATCTCTACTTTAGTAAGGGGGCCAGTGGGGACAAGCTAAGCATTATCCGTTTGGGCTAGAGCTGCCATAGGGGCTTGTGTTGGGTGGCTAAATATGAAGAGCGAAATGCTCTGCCCAGCGACCTAATCGCCTGTAAAGGTTGGTGATCTTCGTTCCGTCTGATCCGCAAATCGTCTGGCTGATAGCATAGGAATTGCAACCGGTGACCCTGATAGTACAAAATAGACGGCGGGAGTTGCCAGCTGATGCAGCGGATTCCACCTCATCAGCTCGTTTTGACCACCAGAATTCACAATCAGAGCGAAGACTTACTTTCAGCTGTTGCGTAATAGACCGGTGGTGTGAGTTGTGCTCTGCGCCAGCATGCACAGACCGTCGGCGATCCAGTAATTCCAAGGATCTTCTTGAGATCCAGCTTGTGGGAGTGGAGCGAGTGAGACCGCAGCTGGACAAACCTGCCTACAGCATGGCTTGTTGCAGGCTTGAGCATTGTTGATCAACATCCAGAGTGGGAGAAAGAGGGAGATTTTAACCAAGCCTTAGGAGACACTCTTTCTTCACCGTTGGGTCCTCCCACTTGTAGGTATTCAGTCGGGTGTGTTTGGATCTAGGTGAACCACCGAAACGCATGCAAACGGTCTCACATACCAGTGCATGATGGGCATCGAGGTATGTTGACGAAAATAATCGGCAGTCGCATACGCTGCCGCGCCACCTGCGACTTATGGCTATGTGGTCAATCTGTGACCAGCGCTGGGTTGGTGATGGGATGCGCCAAATGGCGTACTGGCATCCAGGATGAGGAAAGCTGCTGCTGAGGAGGAAAAGCTGATGATCAGCATACAGACTGAGCAGTCTCTGTGTCGCATTCAAGTATACAAAAAACCGACTGCTACATTTACACTATGTGCTATTGCCCATGACCATTAGATGATGGCATTAGTGCAAAACAAGTAGTGAACGCTGTCGTAATCCTCTTAAACTCCAGGTAGGAACATTCATACTAGTGCTACTGCAAACCTCTTGAGAGACGTGTATCTTGCGCGTTCTGTTATCAACACTGTGATTTATACCATACTTTTCACCCAAACCATCCTATGGGGACTTACCAACCATCTACTTTTATATCCACTATAAACCATTGGTATATTACTTCACCATGCGTTTTATACTAATATGATTGACATTTCCCTGCCTGAGGGAATTTGTATTGAGACCGGTTAAATGGCACCTTTTCGGTTGTGATGCAGAGAAAAACCCCTGTTTTTCGAGGTTTCTCATCCATCGGCTGGTGCTGGTCTTGTATCGTGCATGTACCTTTGTTCTTGTCAGTTCAGTTCTGAGTCTGTAACGAAATGGCGCGTATGAGAGAACCGTCATCTACCACATTGGACTAAGAGGAATATGTTGTATAATGGTCAAGGTGAAGCACTCATTTCTGCAGTGCACAGATCCCTGTGTCGCACCCTACTAAATGAGTTAGTCATGATGTTTAAACCATGTTTCTGGTACTAGGTACAAAAGTTTGCCATAAAGAAGCCAGCACCTAGAGATCTATTCCAACATTTGTGTTACTTCCTCTTCATGTGAACTTTTCAGCTGGTTTCCGCCACCACCAGTACTCTTCTGTCCAGCCTTTTCAAACGTATTCGTCAATCTATTGTTGCATTAAGTTACTCCGTAGGTTGGGCATATACTGTCCCAACTGCTCCAGTTTGAACATACGTTACACATCGCACTTTGTAGTCAGCTGATTAGAAGAAGGAAATATCCCATGCATTACCTACTGTGCGGTGTATAGGTATGCAACTGACACGTGCAAATGCTCCATGATCTGAAGCATTATGGTGGCCAGTTCGAACAATGGCTCGCTGGCTTTCACTTAGGCACGAAGAAAAAGTATCTACTCGGTTAGTCATGTGAAAAATTGACACATGAGACGAACATTGTCTCAATCATTGCCATTTCCGGTGGAATAGTGTAACTGAGGGAATGATCATTCTTTCCTCCACGACGTCAATGCATCTCACAGGGTGTTATTCCTTATTTAGCTCCGAAACAAAGGTGTCATCATTGCGCTGTAACTGTCTATTTTGAATGGAACCATCGATGAGAATTCGCAGGTAGAATAAATTTCACACCGTATATGTGTAACAGTATAGTGACCGATTCGCTAAAGTACTCGTGAATCACCCGAAGGCACAGTATCTATAATGAACATTTCCATCTAAGCAGGACCACCCTCTTCTTCCAAAATAGCATTGTCAGCAATATTATTATCTTCAGTTGGCCTACTTTCTGAAGCATAATGTTTTAAAATCGTTAAAACTTTGCATTTAGCTGGAGTATTCTGTTCGTTCAACATACAAATTTTACGTCACAATAACGAGCAGCTGCTTTGTCATGATGTAATCAGGGCTTCGAAGAAGATGCGCGAGCGACAAGCGATGAGCTTCCGGTACTTTCGATGATGTCAATCAATCCACATACCCTACACTCTGGGACAAGCACCAACCTAGAGTCAGCGGTCAGTGTATCAAGTGACTTAATCTCCGATCGATCGATTTGGCGCAAAATCACTTGCATTGTGCTTTGCCTCGTCTTTCTGATCAACGCTTGGACTGTGGTGATCTTACATGTAACCAACTTGTCCAATGAAACTGTCTTGGAGTTGACTGTCTCACTAGTGACTCTACTGACCGGTCAGTACATAGGTAAGTCCTTCGCATCAAATTTATCTTTGGATAGCTTCTGTTGCTGAATAAAGTCATTTTTGTTAATCATTAATGCTTCGTGACGAGTTGTTGCATTGGATAGGCTAAGAGCTAGTGCACATTCATTCAGATCAAGGCAAGATAAAACGGCGGTAGTCCAACATTCCGACAATCCTGTCGAAAGGTTCGAGTAGTGGAGGTAAAAATAGATTGCGAGGAATGTTCACTTGTGTCAAAACCTACTCACAGTGTCCATAACAGTGCTATTCCAAACTTCAGCTTTGAGTAGGGCGCTCACATTTGAACCAGCCGTGACGGTACGCATTAGACTTTCACAAGGAAGACAATATTTCGGATCATATTATCAATGAATCCTCTTGCATTACTAACAAATTTGAGAGACATTCTCAGGCAACTTCATGCGCAGGCACATGTACGCTTGCTTAAAGTACATACCAACGATTGAGTCAAAGTAACAAGACTGAACCAGAAGAATGTTACAATGCAAGGCATTCCCACGGTTGGATATACACCTATGTACATGTAACGAGCAACTCTGAGACGCAACGGCGTGTACTGAAAATCGATTCCGCAGGTGCGATAGATACGGCCATCAATAACCAAGTAAGGTGATGAGAGGAGGGGATGTACATTTAATGAACTGCTCGTGAATCGATTCGTTTGACTAGGCGATCAGCGGATGCAGACATAGCCGCGGAACTTTGATTCCTCGCGTGCGCAGCAATGTAGGTAGTATGGGACTTTGATGGGGGACCTGCACTGTATTGTGAACCTAGGCAGTGCATAGTTGACCTATGTCCAGAAAACTGGACCGCCAAAAGTAGGTGAGTGAAAATGCTTTTGTGCTTTTGTATGAACAACCACAATAGCAGATAAGAAGTATATGGGTCCCTGTATTCTTAGATTACATGTGCGAACAAGTTAGGCACTTGGTATGTGAAACTTAGTAGTCAGCAAATAGCTTGATTACCTAAGCTGCCTATCAGACTGGTAGATCCAATCAAGCCAAGCTGGATCTAGTCATTTCGTCACAGTAATGACAATGAAAACAATAAAGGGAAATGAGCGTGTGACAAATATAAATATTCCTCCAAGTCAACTAAAGGGCCAGAATTCTGGAGAAGCACAAAACGGCCGCTTCTTTCCATCGGGAGTCTCCATTGGTGGCTACCTCTCGACTCCACCAGGAACGGATCATATGATTTGTGGACTCCAGCGGCTTATGCCACTGATGACGGCAGACCATCATGCCTTATTAGCTCGGATGGGAAATACTGACGAGTACCAAGAGGATAAGACGGCCGATTAGTGATTTTCGGAAGAGTGACACCCTTTCTGGCTTTGGAGCTCTTGTGCAAAACCCTCAACGAATATCATGAAAACGTCCCATTCACAGAAAATCAAATAATAAGGTAACTTGGAAAGGAGTCAAAAATGTCACAGTTAGTGGACTGAAAGCTCAAGAGTGAATACTGAGACAGTATGACCTCATGGCCATCTGATCCCAAAGTACTGCCTGAATTCATACGTGAATACGTAGATATCACCAACACGCATCGTAAGGGAGAGAGATCGATGCGAAGGTTTGGCATCCGGTTCCACAGAAGCAGACCGATCGTGGGTAGCCCGATTGTTTCAGAGTGGGATACCGATGACTTTATCAGGAAATGTACATATCGAAGATGAGATTCTTTGTGCGGTCGTTTTCTCAATTTAAGCTGTAGTCTAATATAGATGGAAGACGGGACAAGCTTTAGCTTTCGATCATAGGCACGCGCATAATGTGACATCGATCGTTGACCTTTGTTGTGCATCATCCTCAAGTTTCATATGCGGCTTCAACGGTTAATTCCTTGCCTTATTTGTGCTGAAGCATGCACAGCGAACAAGGCCGTCCATACTGAGTGTAACAAGTGTAACATCACAAAACAACCAAGTAGTATGCTGTTAATGGAGTACAAATCTATCCAGGACACAGTAAGTAGTCCCGGTTCAGTTTCAAATATGGGGAGATTGGAAAAATGTTGGCCGTATTAGGTGGGTTTATCCGTCGCAGAGTCACTTCATGCTTTGATATGTGCACCAAGCAATACTGCGGACAAATGGCTTCAGCTTTTTCTTCAACCACGACTTTCGCTGCCAAATGTAAAGGCTATTTTTTGAACCCTATCAAGTCGCGAGCGGGAAACACGCAACACTTATCTCTATCACTTGCAACCCTGGGGACCGAAATGACCCAGATCCACTTGCAAATGAATCGCGCACCAGATGGAGATCACACGCTGCAATCCCTTGACAAAGCGAGTGGATCAGTTGATCGCAGAATCAGTAACTGTTGTAATAGGCTCACAGTGATACTTGCGTGTACTGAGATCTTACTCGATGGGGAGTATCAAATAGAGAATTTGTTGCAAACTTGAGGTGCGCAATCCATAGCTGATCCGCCTCCATGATAGTTCAGTCGGTAGTTGCACTAGAGATGGGCGACTCACGTGCTCAACGTCTGACAACCTACGCTTACACAACATCCTTCTAGATTTTGGGTGGAGAATGGTGTTCTCCAGCCCTAATCGATCGGTACAACGGGCAGATTTTGAAAAAGTGAACAAAGTGGGTTAGATCCTCAGTTATTACGAATTACATTACGGCTAGATCGCAGAAGATAGACAGATGGAGCACTGTGTTTTCTTCACTTTACCAGGCGGGATCATGAGCAAGTAAATGGACAGACATGCGCTGACTGAAGAGAATTCTGCGCGATCCATTGGTTGCATTCATGTGTTCATAGGCGGCACCAAACCGTTTTATCGGATATGCAATGCTACCGATAACAGTCAGCACAGATACTTAACGATCACATGGATGGAAAATTAGTGGTACACAAAAGTATGCGTTTAGTACTTGTTCGACGGGAAGACATAAATGCACTGATGTTCAATTTTATTAGCTGAAGTAGCCATAGTTTTGTTCCTAATTAATAAAACAACCACTATCGACTTGGTCTCAGCCTGCAAATAAAAGTATCAATTGGCCAGTCGGAGTACTCGAAGACTCTCCACGGGTCCATTTCATTTTCTTCTATATTGTGCCTGCTGGTGCCATAAGTTCGCATTTTGCTCCTGACTGTAAACACGTGGGCCTCTTCCTTCGGGCTACGAAGAAGCGCAGGCTTACACTTTGCTCAATACGTTGGTCCGTGTGTCCAACGGACACAGGGATCCTGTTTTGTGTTCAGAGAGCTAAATGAGTAAGACAGGGTAGCGTTTACACGTAAATATCCTTAGTCTAATACGCAAGTGAACATATAGCACGAACAGACGAAGCCAACAGACACAAATAATATTAATGACTATAGCCACAGACTGCAAATGATAACCAAACTGTGAGCCTAAATGGTGCCGTTGGCACAGCCAAGTCAATGATAGAGTTAAGCAATAAATACCGAAAAATACAGTAGACAAGGGAAACGCAACTGCTTGAGCAACCATAAAGGAGGGTGTCCGAGTCGGCAAATGAATGCTGAGTTGCTAGCACACAAAGCAGTCCAAAAAGTAGTGGCAATAAACACAACTTTTACTTGTAAAAAGTACAAACACAAATAACGAAACGGAAAATTACAGGAGATGTTTGGTGAGGGAAATATGATGACGTAGGTAACAAACTTAGTCTAGTTTTAGATCTCCACTCAACTGGGAACTGCTCAGAAATGCGGTCTCCAAGATATCTGTGCTGAGTAAAACACTGTTTCCTGCTCTACGGTCTAGCACACTGCGTTATCCGCAATCACTTGTTTCACCGAGTACCAGTTAACTAACGTTGCTTTTCCTGTAACTGCGAGGTAACACATTCATTGTTCTTCAAACTTCTAGTCACTGGCATCGTTGACGGATATATCTACTGGAAACGTTGGAGTAGAACCACGAAAAAGCATTACGATAAGGAGCAAGAGCAAAACAAGGAGGCGTGGGTCTGCATGAGAACCACTTTCAATCTGCTGGGGTTGGCACCGATTTCCAGGTGAAACCATAGCATTTTATTTGTCTCTATGCAGTTGTTACATACTTTTCTCTAGGATTGTTTCATTTGTATAGTAACATTCAATTAGCAAACATAGTCATGTGCGTCATTCGGGTCAAGGTAATTCGTGATCGCTAAGAATAATTTGGCTCTGCCTGAAGTACTAATGCACAATGAAAGCGGGCTTAACCTTCAACTTAAAATCACATGGGGTGGGAATCAAGCTCATCCATTCACATTGCGTGAGAAAGGCGAGGGTGCAAGGGTGCTCCGGGTGTTCTCACGCTTTCAATGTCATTCGATTCACTGATTGTATGATTTCTTGTTGAATTAAGAAATCCGCTAATTCATATACATTCATGTGAATGACCATGAACGCAATGGCAAAACTGTGAGTGTTGTGAAAGCAATGATCCAGATTCGGGCTTTCCGTCCCCACTAACTTGCAGTGATATTAGGGGCTGCTACTAATGATCCGCTCGTATTGCATATTTGATCAAGACAACGTGACACATCAAACGCTACTGAAGCGCTCACAAAATTCTCCCTCCATTGTTTCCACCCACTTGACAGAGGCACAGTCCATCGTAGCATCGGCGGCTGTCAAACTAGTAGTTAAGGCTGCCAATACTACCACTGGACCTAGCATGCCATCTGTTGTCCAAACCAAGGAAACAGCCATGAGTTCCACATAAGGTGAACACTAGACATCATCATGATTCTCTAACTGTTATATGATTCAATATGCCTGAATCCGAAACGCACGCCATAAAGGGCAGGCTACTAGACAACCAGGAACAGAAGGGAGCCGTGGGTCAAATAATTGGGGTTTAAGCTAAGCCGGCTAATATGATGCACCACACCAGTTGTGCACAGTTGACACACTACGTTGAACCAGGATTGCTCCAAATAACGCTTCAGTCAGGGAATGATGCAGAGGCCGTTCTCTTGTCAGTCGCTCTCCTCCGAACTGCCCCATGTACTATTCGCATTTTCCGGATCTTTGGAGCCAACACTAGAAACGCAAAATAAACCCAGGCGACTACCAGAAGCAAAACAACGTAAAATCAATCTTTGCCTACCGTGTTTCAGAGCTACGGAATTCAAGCGAGCTAGAGACCCAAACATATGACTGGGATGAATGGCGTTTCATTCCTGAAGTGCTCACCCTGAAAAACATGATCACAAATTCGACCTCAAGGTTATCATTATCACCCTACTAAAATGGGAGCGGTCTACGAGCGATAAACCTAACACTATAAACCAAACCCATGGCGGAAATGTGATCGAAATGTGACGCAAAATATACAAAAACTGCTGAACAATCAGGTCTCGTGTGTGACCCCATCAAAATACCGCTCCATACGGGGACGCTTTCAAAACTTTCCGTCAGCTGGAGAATGTACAGGTTTTCAGCTACCTATTGGTGCTGGCAACTCGACACAGCGACCCGGAATTGTCACGGGCCCGCCATTACGGTTCAAGAAACAGGCAACTACGAACCGAACCCACAAGGGTCAGCATAAATCATTAACTTAAACCCGCATCCACAGATACACTGCTAAACTCTGATGAGGTTACCCGCTTCTATAACCACGCGCATGACTTTCTCAGTAAGCTGACGGATCCCCATCCTCGTCAGGTTTCCATTTCTTGGGACACCATCATAGTAAATGAAACATGACTATATATTTCACCGATATCGAGATAGCCCTGTCCCGGAGAATTTTTCCACGGAACGATCGACCCAGTAGAGGTGGCGCATCGCACTTGTATTATCGATCTGACCTGCATATCGACACTATCGACGATCCATGTACATACCCAGTCGATTCCACCAGGTGCCGTCTACACCTTAGACCTGGTGATTTGCGTCTGCCAGCAATAGTTAACCGCCCTCCAATGTCTACATTGGAAATGGATCACCTCCTAACATTTACTATGAGACGAGTGAGTCATGACTTTCTGGTTGGGAACGTTGACATGCAAGCAACTGAAGCCCAGTTTCTCTCAGCAAAAATCTCAAGGCGGGCTTGCGAGCAATAATCGCCGATGTACCGCTGTACAACCACGTCACCACTCCACTCGATTCAGAACGGCTGACGAACCTTCTGTTTCAAGTCAAGCCAAGTCAAGAAATTGCTTTATGCACCAAGAACAGGTGGGTATTCAGCTGTAAAATACGCTTTCAGCGATACATATAAGTGCAATTCAAAAAGTGGATCAATAATTGTTGAAAAACCATATCATCATAACATAATCCGGTTTGTTAATTCTTGGAAGGTTTCGTTTTGCTTTGGAAGAATCCCGCTAGGTAAGGTATAACTGAGGAACGGTATGCTCGTGTACGGGCATATATTAAACTGTAATTCTGTCTGCTTGAACAGGTTGACACACGTTCCAACAATACAGGTTGAAAGAGGTGACTTGTGTCGGCAAGTATCATTGACGCTAATCTCTTGCAATAACTAACATGAGCGGATACAAGTATATCAACAAAACTCAAATTTGTTACATCGCTGCATCGCGATACTTGTTTTAACAACTTGATAAGTCTGAAGTCCTTGCCCAATAGATCAGGAAAAATCACTGATGTGCAGTACATCCAGTGTGGATGAGCACATGCAGTGCCAAAGCGAAGTATCAAATCATGCGTTACAGAGCAATCACGCAGGCGTGCGGAGTGAAACGATAGTCTCCGGACTTTGGTGAATGTTGTTTCATATGGTATGACCTAGATAAATCGTAGCTAAGCATGTGGGAACATAGAATATGGTTGGCTGCATCCGGTTTCGGATTTGCCTGTCACTGTGGCCAGCCACAGGACGCCTACGCCTACAGAGGTACCATGGGTGGCTCGCGCTGCACCACCCACAGCTCCATCCACACGCCCCATATCCAGTGTAAACCCGAGAGAATAAGACCGGGAGGCATGCGGATGGGAGCCACAATATTCAACGGAGCCGGCCCACACTCCTTCACAGGCAAACACAAGCACGCTGTATTTGGGAATCAAGCGCACACAAGGCGGTGGATGGACCGTAGTCCACTCCACACTGACTGCATGGAACCACTCTTTGATTCTAACACGGCCATAAGGACCGTGCACCCCGTCCCCTCCAGCAACGTTTAACTGTCTCCTGGAGCCAGTATGGACGAGGTAGTGGGTAATAGACCGGTAGGCACCTTGTCAACATGCACATCAAGCGCAGCCACACCGGTGATGTCAAGCAACAGCCATTCACCTGAAACAACAAGCTGCAATAAAACAAATCCAATAATGCATAGAGATACGGTGGCATAACTCTTCGCTAAATTAGCATATCAAGCAAGTTGGTTAGCAACGAATCCGCGATACGGAAAAATGTCCACAAGTCACTTAGAAATGCTACAAACGAAACAAAGTTCTGAAGATAAGTGCAATTAGTGTAAGCAACGTGGCCAGTTAATAGAAGATTATTCATGTAGGCAGAAAAAATCAAATAAAGTGGAATGAACTTTATCCACATTAAAAAGACCTAGTTTAAGTGTAAGTTAGTTTAGTGCAACTGCGGTGAAGAAGCATCAAAATGCAACGTCAGCATGGGGAACACACAATATACACTCCTATTTACAGGTGTGGCAGTTGAGGCTTCATATTACCATCTAATCACTCTTCTCCATGGGCTATCCAATGTGATGGAAGGAGTCGTCGCATAGGTGCTCTAAGGATAACTTGAGAGCAACAGCATCATATTGTTAAGGCAGTACGGATTTTGCTGAGATTGATCCTTTACTGCAAAGTTGCTGCTAGCGAAAGTAAGCTGTACAGAGTCAGTCAATGCCAGAGTAGGGGTCGACCTCTACCTGGAATTTTGTAAAGGGTTTGACCGCCTATACCACCGCATTCTTCTCCACACTCTTTCGAGCTATTAAATCGGTAACCAAATTGTGGATTGGAAAAATAACTTCCTCATTCAACCTCAGCCGAAGGTGAGAGCGCTATTCCTGGCCCAATTAACGTCCAGTGCGGTGTGCTTCAAAGATAAATACTGGGACTAAGTTTATTCCTAGTGTTTTTCAACCATGTAACAAGTGTTCAACAGTCGGACTTCCTACCGTTTACGAATGATGTCAAGTTCTGACATGACATCAAGACAGTGGGCAGTGGATGCCGTACTGCAGAGAGATAGCTCGACAGAATCTAATCATCCGGAAACCGGCTCCAATTTAACTTGTCAAGTGCAAAGTTGTGAACGTAAGTCATCCGTGTCCTCATTGAATAACGGTTGGGAGAACAGCCGTCTCAACATGCTACACAGGAAAGCGACAACGGGGTAATCGCGCAGATTGATCTTGGGTGCTCAAAACAGGCCGAAAAGGCATTGAAATGAGCCACTCAGCTCCTTGGACTCTCACGAAAAGCCTTTGGAAAGTTCGAATCATCAAAGATTCCACAAATTTTGAACGTCTACTTGAGGTTCCACGTTTAATACGCAATCAAAGTCTGTTGTGGCTCTGGCGCAAATACAATGTTAATGCGCTTGAAACACCATAACGTAAAGCGACTAATATAGAGGAATGTTTCACCTTCCCTACCAACGCAAATTGCAAACCTTGGGCTTATACAGCGGTGAATATCGTTGCCTGCGAATCGATTTTATTATCGTGTACGACCCACTGGCGAACCGCAATCACGCCTGTCGCGATCTGTTGCTATTTAACCACGACACTAATCTGAGAGGTCAGCAGCTCAAACTGACCGCGCACTACAGTCGTCTTGATTGTCGACAAAACGTTTTCTCCTTCCGTGTATCCAGAACATGGAACATTCATCCAACTCATGTCATTTTGGCCCCAACATTAGAGGCTTTCAAAAAGAACGTTGACGGCACACTGTCACTTCTACGCTACGTGAAGTAGTCCGTTTTACTCAGAGAACGATATAGCGCGAATCAAACTATGTACTTACCAGCCCTCTACATAACGTGAGAAAACTTGCATCAGTGTTTATGTGAATCGCTTGGTGAGTCAATCAAAACCCAAACTGCTCCCTTATTCATGTTGCATTGTAACTGGTTTTATAATACGCACACCGGGCAATTTAGATGACCTATCAAGCAATCGGATTTTTACCCCCGATAACTCGTTGTTCACTGGTCATTATCGAAGCTGGTGATAACGCCGACTTACTAAGCAGTAAAAAGTGTGGGGAGGGTAATTCAGCAGTGGTTATTAATTACTTTTCGTACATGACTGAAGGATTCAGTACACTTTCGTGGGGGATGTACATTTTTTAACTTGGAACAGTGGGGCAGTAACATGACCTGCATCATACCCTTAACAGAAGGCAGGTAGATTTATGAGTGGAGTCAAATGTTTCACAGAATAAAGATATATTTAGTTCAGATAAGTTGTTAAATTCTTAACTGAATGACCGTTATAGTGCAATCCCTTCAAAGAAAGGAATTGTTCTTCCAAATGATCGATCGTGGCTCAGAATTCCACCCGGAAGCATCATGAAAAAGATTTTTCGGGGGATTAGGTCTACTTGGGGCGCGCTGAATAGGCAGCACGAGTACGCCAGATTTCCGGAGTGATGCAGAAGATGGTACAGCTAAGACGCCTTGTGAGAAAACAGCGCGATCGGAAATAAGTGGGATATACGCGCATTTTAAACCTCTACACGAAAAAACGAGCTAAGTGTTTCAATAGGCGTTCACCAGCATAGAAAATTTCAACTGCAATCGGATTCATGCTTTTAGATTTACGGGTAACGTGAGAAACTGCAGGTTTCAAGTACTAGTAGAAACATGACAGAAGATCCAGATGACTTGTAAGCAGTCTGTGGAAGTTGTAGTATGTGACCACAAGCCTTCACATTCGCAGTTGGCGGCACCGAGACAAGCCCTTTGAAGACTTGTCAGATTCGCCGCTTTGCGTAACTATTCCTTTGCGTAACTCCAAGTAAACACAAGGAACTAATTAGCTGGTTCGCGATATGTAGGAGGACTTACATACTCTCCTTTGAATAAAAGCCTCTACACCAAGGGCAGCGCAAGGATCTCTACAGTTATGCATTAGTTCCGGCGAGCTAGCCTGTAATTAAGCAAACGATTGCATTGAAGTGAAGGCTGGGACACCTGGAGAATGTCTAAAATTGGGAGCAGAAAGGGGTGAAAACGGATTATTTGTGAACACCGAGATAAATCGCAAATGTGATCGCATATCGGTCGATGATAATAACGAACCACTAATTTGGGACAAAGCGACATACGCACCCTGGTAAGGGAGTCAAGATTAGTAAGCATTCAGTTTGATCGGGTGTGATAAAATCTAGTTAAAGGTGTAAGCCACTAGCGATCATGGATTCGGTCCTGCGCAGAGGACCGAGGGAATGCGCGCAGCTGAAGAGCCCCAATGGAGCGAAGCGATCGTCCGGTACTTTTCTGGAGAGGTTGTTAACCTTTGTGGCTTGTAATATAATTGCGGTGATCCAACTAAATCATATAACACCCGTCTATGTCTGAGCAATCAAAAACGAAACCCTACCAGTCCTCAAAATGCCGTATGGATTCACGGCTACTTGCAAGGAGGTCCTGACACCGGAAGGCCAACCACTGTCCTCTGCAAGGCCAGTAATCTGCATGGCAGCGGAGGATATGTCCGGCTATGCCGCAGTTACTTTTTAATCCGTGATGATCGGCTATCCTCCCTCATGGCTCAGTGGCACCAGCTGCTGATTAATGATGTAAGCCATAAACAGTCATAGTTTCAAGCTCCAGCAAGGGACCCAAGGAATGTACACCCCCTGACGAGCCTTAATAGGGCGAAAGGATCAAATGGTGCTTCCTTTCATAGTTGCTAGTTCTGGTCCTGCATAAACTAAAAGACGTGTTCTCCTACATCCGAATCGCCAAAGGCGAGGTTTAATATCACTTTGTCAGCTAGCTTAGACAGACTGAGGGAGACGGTTACTTTTGTCGGTGCATCTCCTGCTCGAAAGCCAAGGAGACCACATTTTCTGATCCTATTCAATAAAATGAAGGTTAATAAGCTGTTCGTATCACACTCTCTGCTTACTAATTGCCAGTGTTCTTTTACCAGATAAAAGCGCTATTTTTCAGCTGTCCGAGCTGAAAGTTCCGCCAATATAATACGAATTTCCCCTCAATTACATTATGGTAGGTACATCGAGGCGCTTGTGATTATTCGGCGCCTGGTAGCTGTGGAAAATCGATACCTTCCGGAGGCAATTTTGTTTGTCAAAGAAATTCAACAACCATTTACTCTACCCAGCGGATCCCTGATAAGCGCACCTGCTGTTGGATCGCGGTCGTCAAGATCAACCCGATCAAACACAAATCCTCCAAGTAGGTTGATGATCCTACTGAAACTGTCACATGCCTTGAGTTAAAAACGAATACCCACACGACTTCAAATAATTTCATCGGCAGTGAACTTGATTGAGTGCAGCATTGTATTAGCGTTTAGCATTGGCGGTTATCTGGAGACTATGACTCCAAGAACTCGAGAGGTATAAATAGTTAACTATGCAACAGCAAGCATCCACTCAGTGCATTATTCGTGACCACCTATGAAGTAACACATCTGCATGGTGCTGAGTATTAACAAAACTATCTTCTTGGACGTTACGTTCTCGGTCTTCAGTGGAACAATGGTTTATTAGGGATAAAAACGTCAAAGCTTGACAGGTTCCGTTGGATGGTCATATCGATGATTGCGAAATATGGAAAACTAGCAAACAAACATATGTTCACACTGGTGAACCCATCGCGGTATATGTATTATAAATTGTAACTCCACTGTAACGCCATATGGATCGACGGAAAATAGAACGTTGTTAAAATATATCGTGCCGCTATCTGGTGAACACATACGGAGGGTAAAAAACGTAGTACGTATTCTGGGAACTGACCGTCGACAGTCACTTTTCTTGCTTTTGTGTGATAACTCTAACTGTAGTCTTCGGGTGTTCAGCTTGCGTCAGACCTTTGCTGTGACGCAACAGTGCTCTACCTGCTTGTGCACTACATGGTGAAAGAGAATGGAGCAATGGCTTATATGACGGGTATAAAAACGAATGCTTGACAAGTCCCATAAGAAAGTAAGATTGAACATTACGGGATAAAACATACAGTGTCAGTGAGAGATCACTTGAGACACTTGATTCACCAAGGGGTCTGCATTAGCACATATTTGAGTATTCATGTCTGTAGTTTACAAAGATTATGACACCGTCCAGTGTTTGCACTACACTAATGTCAGCATCTGATGATATACTGTAAATGTGTCAGGGTATCGTCAAGTCGGGTTCTGGTGTAGTGATAAGGTGGGGGCATGAAAATGGTGCGCTGCGAAGGTGTTTCAAAGCTGTGACACGGAGGGCGAAAACGTTTCGTGGACATTCCAGTCGGCTGTTTTGTGTGCCCAGCTGAAACTGATGGACCCTTAGAAATATGGCTTGACTGAGTTTCGAAAGAGAGTGACATGTGTTGTTGATGTTTTTCGAAACTGATACACCATTATGAGATCCTGCCATAGACGCCTATAACATCTGTTGCACACTTGGTGTTCGCAGCCTGCGTTCATTGGGAAAGTGGGACAAACATCTGACTTTCTTCATTACTTTGCGTTGTGCGGTATCGAGCGCGGTGGGATATTGCTTTTGCTATGGTCGCTACGCTTAAAACAGCGTATTTCGCTCGCGGCCTCACTTACGGGCCAAGCATATTCGGGAAAACTGGGGCGTCAAACATCCCGAACGTTCTACGTAGGAGGTCGAGGTGATCATTTGCTTTCTGTGACACCGTTTAGGTCATCCTCAAATAACCAAACTCATCTTGCACGAGCACGCCGAGATCCTACTCATGGGAATTCCGCTGTAGAAATGGCGGTCCTAGCCGTTAGTTTTGAGTAACCTGATAGCATATACTCAGAATTTTGCACTATGTGGCGTTGAACTGCGGCATGTTCTCTGTGGACCATATGTATGCCTTGTCCAGATCATCTTGTACGGCTGTGTGATCCTTCACTGTAGTGAAAGTACGTCACATCTTTAGGTCATCAGCGAACATTAGACAATTTGAAGGCACCACGATCACATGATCATTTATGAAGACCAGGAACAGAAGAAGCCCCATTACCGAGTCATGATATAGGTTGCAGTGGAATTTGTTTGGTTCGGATATGGTGCTGCGAATCCTAACATTCTGGTGACGTTGAACGAGAAATTTGTCTATCTAGCCCAGAACTGGATCATCAATTCCATAAATAGGAAGCACGTGTAGTAGAATGTGATGGTTCAGAAGGTCTGATGCCCTTGCGAAATCCAGTTTGGTGCACCTACTCCCACACCAGAATCCATAGATTTCATCCAACTTTCACGAACAATCAACAGATTAGTAGTACAGGACCGAACTTGAGAAAATCCGTGCTGCTCCGGAACGAGAATTTTGTTTCTCTCCGGATAGCCAAAAGCGCGTCAACCATAATGAGCTCTATGATCTCGGAAATCACCGAAATTAGTTTATCGGGCGATAATTTGCTGATTCTGGACGGCTAGCACTTTTGCAAACTTGACTAATAATCGCGTGATTCAACATCGTGGGGACGTGCATCATGTTAAAAGGTCGCTAATAGAGTATTGCTAAAGTTTCGGCTAAACTCATTGCAAAATTTTCAACACCTTTGGGTGGATGCCGTCTGCACCAGAGGAGCTGTACTCGCGCAAGAGCATCAGCCCTTTCAGTACGGCTGCGGTTGTAATAGATATGTGGTTTAAGCCTGATGGAGCCATGATTTGCTATGCAGAATGTGAGATGATTGTACACTTTGGAAGACATGGCTGAGTTGCTGCCTAAGAACCTTGGTAGCGTCTTGTGCCGTATGTAGTAACGCGCATACTGCGCACGGAGCAGGAACTCCACGATAAACCCTGAGAAGTTTGTTAGTCTGTATGACACTTCGTGGTTAGAACAAACCTTTATAACCAGGACTTGGTTCCGTCGTTTAGCCTCATTTAGGAGTTTAACGCCGTGTTTCTTTTGTTTTGTACAGGCATCCCAGGTGTACTCGCTCCGAGAGAATGTTTGGACAAGCCATGCCAAATTCTCAATACCATACATATCCGGGTCCTGCTCCTTAGGAACGACTTCATCTTTTTCGAACGGTGGATTTTAGTTTCTGGTATGCTTGCCATCAACCTGTTGACAAACTCCCCGCAAGCCATCTCAGGGAACCGTTGGGTTAGAAAAGACCAACTTGTTGCACCAATGAGGACGGACAGGTTATCATAGTTGGTTAGTACGTGAGATTCCTCGGTACGTTCTTTAGGATACACTGCGTAGCGCATGTATTAGAACACTAATGTCGCGCAGTCGCTGCGGATCAAAGGAGTACACGTTGTTACCACGTAGACCATGAGTTCTTAGTTGATAAAAAGGAAGCGTAAGGTGGTCGGTTTTTGCCTACCCTGAAACGCGTTGGAAAAGTGACATGGTTGTACAGCTGTGAACCAGCGATTACTTTTTGCAGTTGCACTTTGAATTGTTCACCTAGAGTGGTCGGGTTTTCTAGGCCATGCAGATTTAAGTTCCATACCAGGAAAAGGTGGCTGTGAAATCGTCCCAGTAGGCTTTTCATAGTGGAGGCTACACCCTGGTCCATGCCTACAGTGGACATTGGCGAGCAGTATATTATAACCAGCCGGCATATCTCGCCCTACCTTAGGTGTAAGCAGCACCACAATGTGTCTACGGTTTGAACTCCGGGGTCCTTTACGCGCTCGATGATTATATCGGAACAGTAGTGAACAATTACACCGCCTCCCCCAGTTGCTCGGTCGTTGCACAAGAGTGACATATCAAGTAGTGCGATCTCGGCGTTGGTAATCACACAATTCCGCCAAGTCTGGGTTTCCAAGATAAGGTCCAGACATCGAGGATAAACAAGATCGAAGCTTGGCTAATCTACTGAGAAGGCATTGCGTGTTTGTATGCAAACAATTGAGAACAACTGATGCCAGAAGCGTATCTAAACACATGAAAGATTTCCTGGAATTTGCGCTGCCCATTGTGGGGCTGGCTGACAATCGTTTTTTGGATGTATTTCTGGCCTATCCCCGGGTCCGTTTCGGTAGGTTGCATAGAGCACCAACCGCCTAATCCTCCAGAAGCGAACTGCGGCTAAATGCCAGTTCCTTCCTCTTCAGACGGCTGAAGGGTAGCACAGCGCTCCTGTTCGGAAATGTAAGAGCTCGTGACAGTGTTGCTGTTTTTCAGTTCCCTCAGCGAATGACGGCTTGGCTTCGACTGTCTTCAGGCTTATCTCTGATGGCAATTTAATGCGCATCTTGTGTCAATTTCCGAGCAACCTGTCAACTACTATTTTAAAGATGGAGCAGTTCTTTGAGCACCTATGGACCACATTTATTATATTTGGATGATATTGGTAACCTTGATGATGTGTTGGAAATGATATAAAGAGGGCTTCGCGGATGAAGTGCTATTCTTCCAGGTCTTGAGCTTAAGTTTGTGGCTGGTCGGAAGACCGGATTTGGGAAACACCATGGACAAAAATCTTTTTCGTAGTTTAGCTTGAGGTGTTCTTCCGAGTTTTGCTTTCTTTACAATTGCTAGCTCCAAGATATGTCAGGGAATTCACGAACATCACGTGAATAAATAAAATAAATAAACAAACAAACAAAAACGTTTTTATTTATCTGACATATGGAATATGCTGTTAAACTATAGGAAACAATTGTAAAAATATGATCATACCGAACAGGACATGCCTCGTAAAATCAAGAATATACATTATTATTATTAATCACGAGGTCGGTGAGCTGACAAGAGGGCGGTCTCCACTTCGACATTCGACCGAAAGGTAATCTAAAGTAGCCTTGGCTTGCCATAGAGCCCTGAGTTTGGGTGGCGGACGATGCGAAACAAATTGGCTTGTTTGGCCTGAATTCTCATTTCGTGGCATATGGATTCCCAGTGTTTCAGGTCGTCCAGTAGTATGTTATTCATAGTGTTCGCTTTTGACCCAGGCACGCTGTAGCATATTTACACCGAGTTCTGCGTTTTTCTTACGCTCATAAGTTTTGATAAGATAGTACTTCCTTCTTCTGACAATGTGGTGGATGGCCTTCTCGGCGACGCATTGATATTCGTGTCATTGTTGTCGCTCCTTCGGTTAGAGGCATACGTCACCTCTATCTTCGTTCTGGGTCTGCATGCAGTGACGGCGGATGCGTATGTTGTCAGAATTTCAGTAATGCTAACTAAACCCGAATGCAACGGAACATCATGTGCCACAGACACATCTCTGGGAAAAACCACTCTCTGCCACATTATTGATGACGAAGTTGGCAGATACTGGTTTCCCGCCTGTTTGCTAGTTCCCGTGATTGGAGTTGCTGGCTCTACACTGTAAAGTATACACATTTTGGCTACTCCGTTCCTAGAATCTAGTTCTGTTGCATTCGTAGCACGCCGCACAATCGCTCTCAGTTTGTCACATTTTTGTGCCCGCACGACGATGCACCTTGCGAATGGGTTGAGCATACCCTCTGTACAGGACCAAACAGTGTCTGGCTTTCAGTGTCGTTCTCCCACTTTTACTACACTTACATTTAAAGGTCGAATTCATGGTAAAAATAAGCATTATGTGCCCGGGTGAGCACATTTTAATAATTTTACAATGACAACTGTGCACGGGCTAAAACGTCATCAGAAGTGTAAATCTCTATGCACACAAAAAGCAGCCCGTATACAAGTGTCATTAGAATAAATGGACTGGTATCAGTAAGCACCAATTACGTATTTCTTGTAAGAACAGTCCGAATTTGCGTTCTGTTGAGAAGACAGCGTCAGCGGTCAGTTTTCCATCCAAAATGGAGCTTTCCTACTCTGCCGAAAGGTTTCTTGACAAAGAATTACGCAAAATTCGCAGTATCTTAGGATTGACTCAAAAATCAATGAAGGACAGTGATATACGAGCTTGGAGCTAGTATAACTAAAGATAAGGTAAAAAATTCCGAGAAATCTGATGCGTTTGCATCGAATATTATAGAAACGATATTCCGTGAAAAAGGCGACGGACGATTTAAAGGCTCCACCACTGGTATGGATCTATACCAAACTTGCATTTCTTACTGCGGTTACGACATGTAATTCCAATTAGAATAGTCTTGGAGCACGATATGGAGTTGCAAAGAGATTTTGTCTACGGCTACGTGGACCGTGTGCACGTTGTTTTCCTTGTTGCTGTGTTGCGGAACATTCTGAGACGTCAGTCATGTCTTTCCCTTACGAGCGATCAACGTGCCGAGCGTGTTCGGACAGACACACGGTGTCGATTGACAAGGCCTTACGAGCGGGACTACAGTTTTTCACGAAACATCGTCTCTATAATATCTGATGCGAATGCATCAGATTTCTCGGAATTTTTTTTACCTTATCTTTAGTTATACTAGCTCCAAGGTCGCCATCGCTGTCCTTCATTGATTTTTGAGTCAATCCTAAGATACTGCGAATTTTGCGTAATTCTTTGTCAAGAAACCTTTCGGCAGAGTAGGAAAGCTCCATTTTGGATGGAAAACTGACCGCTGACGCTGTCTTCTCAACAGAACGCAAATTCGGACTGTTCTTACAAGAAATATGTAATTGTTGCTTACTGATACCAGGCCATTTATTCTAATGACACTTGTATACGGGCTGCTTTTTGTGTGCATAGAGATTTACACTTCTGATGACGTTTTACCCCATCCACAGTTGTCATTGTACAATTATTATAATGTGCTCACCTGAGCACATAAAGCTTACGTTGACCTTGAATTCGACCTTTAAATGTAAGTGTAGTAAAAGTGGGAGAACGACACTGAATGCCAGACACTATTTGGTTCTGTACAAAGCGTATGATCAACCCCACAGTTGCGAACAAAGCCGATAGAAGTCGACGCACAGCCTTTCTGGTGTTGGCAGTGGGCGCTTGGCTATCGATCAGGCTGGGCTTCGCCTTGGTGTAAAGTTGAGCTTTGATGAGCGTGTTCGGATTCATGCTGTACTGCCGAGAGTCAGGAAGGTGGCTGCTAAACGAGCTGCAGCTATCAAACGAAGTGTCGGATTCTTGTGGTAAAGGAATCGCTGGATAGCGCTAAGAACGGTTTATCGAATGCGAGTACAAATGATGATATGTACTCGCAAATAAGGTTGATATGCGCCTGGATTTCTGTGAAAGTTTCACTAAAATTACAGTAACCGGTGAAACGATGGTGTGTGCTAGACAATTTTGTAGTGACAGATCCACTGGATAGCACTGGTAAATCCGAGCTAGATAAATGTTAACACAGTACTTTGCGTCGAGAATTGTGAGTGCTAAATTCAAAAACAGAGTAACGTCGAATCATTACGACCATACGGGAAGCGACCATCATGCAGGAAGGATTCGCGCAAGAAAATCGAGGGATGTTTAAAAATATCCGATGACCACTTATAGATAGGGGATTGGCGCCTTGGTTTTCGTCGTCCCACTGAGTGCGCATGTCAGCTTATGAGTTGGTAAACGCGACCCCGGTAGAGAGAAGTATAAACGCCTTGGTGACAACTATTGAGTCAACAACAGAACCGTTCAATCATAACCTCAGTCCGGAGATGATACACGTCGACGAAATATCACGTGTAATTATTTAACTAAACTCTGTCTAATTCATGAGTACTGCCACCGAAATGAGTGCTACTCTGGCCTTGGTGTCGTGGGCATGGTATGAGAGCGCAGCTAGAACCGAATAAATGGATGCCTGCTCCTGCCAAATTCTCCTACGACTGAACCTCACTAATCACCACTAACTAAAAATTCTGCACACCTTTTCGTGTGGTTTGCAAACTAGACGATCAAAGGCACGTGCCCGTTTGAGTGCTTTGAACAGAGGTCGAATAATCACAGGTATGTTTATGTGTTTTACATTCTTTCTGTGATTCTAGATGAGACAGTGTTAGAGGAATCGATACAACCTCACCGACTTTTCTTTACCTTCTGTGTTGCAGTAAGTGCCGCTCGAATAAACGCTCTGGACTCCGGATTGGTACGGATATACAACGCGCGGCGCCAATTCCGACGCTCGGAACGCGATGCCAGCCTGATCGCTTTGACCAGCGGAGTGGCCGGTGCCGGGCCATTTGTTATATCCCAAGGTGTGCTATATTTTCGACGCGTAGGGCTGAACTATCCGATGGTCGCAAATACAAGTGAGTTATGGATATTATGCGAGAATGGTAAAAACTGTTTGTAAGCATTAATCCACGGCTGTGTCGAACTAAACAAGGCCAAATGTTGTATGAATTCCACATGCGCATCTAGTGCGAATGTAAGGCTAAAACATGTAGGAAATAACGATGAGACGCAGGACACCAAAAGGAATACGAAGGCGGCGGCTAGTAAAATGGTAACCACAAGCAAGGAGGAAAATGGTTTTACTGTTATAACATCCAGCGACAAGCGATCTCGACCAATGGCCGAGTTGTCTGCACGCCTGACTTGCAATCATAAGGTCACCGATTCGAATCCGCGTAGAGCTGGGAGTCCTCCCGGTATACTGAGCCCGCGCGCGACTGGAGGTGGTCGCACGGCAGCGAAGCGCCGTACAGCTGACACATTATTTATTCATAATCCGTAGCGTGATATGTAACCAATTCAATTTAGCATCAACCGTATGACTGAATACTAGATAGATAGGGTTGAATAGAACCTACTGTCGGTGTGCACTAGTAGGACAACTTTCGGAACCTTGACTGGAGGTTAAATGGAACACCACTGAATTTAGGCTGAGATATAAACCAATACAAACCAAATACGAGAAATAGGGATCAGATCTTAGTGAATGGCTTCCAACCGCACGCGGTTTGGGATGCATTCATCCTATTAAAAAAATCAAAAGCAGGACCTTACAGATTCCATAGCGGGCAGTTTAGTAGTGTATGATCCAGAAGTATACGGTGAGACGAAGACACGAGATTGTGTCTAACTATTTCCGGTTAACTCATTTTGAACATCAGTTGTTTTCGGCACCCGAATCGGCACACATCAGACGATGCTGCCAATATTCAAAGTCATTTCATATCCTACGTTGTTAAGGATTTTCGTCATATTCATGACCCCTAAGAAATGGGTTCTTTAAGCACCGAATTGATCTATGGGAAGAGGTATAAACTGTAAGGAGCGACGTCTGGAGAATAAGCGGGTGCCCAATAATCTGAAAACATTACAGATGAGGTGCCGTGGACTGGCGCGTTGCGTCAGTGCAAAATCGGCTTGTTTTTTTAAATTTCATCAAAGTTCGACGAAACTTTAATGTAGTGCTGCTGGTTTGTTATATGACCACTCGAAAAACAAGCTCTCGGTACTTTCGAAACATTTCTCCCACATTTCCTTGCTCCTGGTAACAGATGTGCATGGCGGCTGGGTACTTATCATCTTTCACCTTACATCTGCTTAGAGAAAACCACCTGTCTCTGTCAAAACGCATATAAACGTTAAGCATTCTTAACCGTAAGGCTCAGTCAATTATCAAACGTTTCTGTCGCGGATTTCTCCAATTCAACAATAATCTGATTTTGGCCCGTTGTTCACTTTTGCAATCCAGGAGTTATTGACCAAAGATAGAACATGGTAATACTTGAGGATGCGTTCAGTTGTACCAAGTAACACTATCGAGGCGGACTTTGTGACAGGATAAGCAAGTATCGACGACTCGCTGCCGCGCTACCACTACCAGTCGCGTATGGACTAAGGAAGGATACTGCGAGGATCGTCCGGCTCCCTACACAGGCTCGAATTCGTGCCTTTGGATTACAAAGCAGGCTTGCGATCCGTTAGGCATCGCATCGGCGACTGTTTAGAAAATGTGCTATAACCGTTTGTTTGTATCTCTCTTCCCGAGCCATGGGGTTTGTTAGCTTCTTTCGTGTCAGGCATAGTAAAACAGAGATAAGTGCTGAGCTCATGGTGGTTAAAGGTGCTAAACCACCAGAGATATGTGTGTGAATGTAGTGGACCCGCACTGATTATTAAGCGAAGTGGAACACAGTCAATATCATCTGAATTCAGGCACGTGAACGTTATTCTTTCAACAGCGCAAGAACAACGAACATTTATGCGGAATAATCCGAAATCAGTATATTTTGTTTTTCAACTTTTCGGTGTCACCCAATAAGTGTGATCGAACAGAACCTGAAGCATAGTTTGAACATCTGTACGAACAGCTTTCCAGTCTGATGCCGGTGACAGATGATGCCGTTGGATGGTTTAAGGCCAAAGCTGTAGATATAGGCAATCAGTTTTACGTTACGAAGCCCGAAAAGTGTCGAATAATAACGAACGACCATTTTGATTCCTTGATGCAGTTGTGTCGCAATGATGATGTACTAATACTGAGACTTGACAAAAGTTGCGGAGTCGTTGTGATGAACAAACGGGATTACTTACAGAAAATGCAAACTATACTCACGAACGAAAGTCGATTTGTTGGAGATTTGACTAGACGTGATTAAACCGAAAAAATTGAAAAGATGATATCTCGCGAGAAGCGAAGTTTGCACAAAGACAGCTTGATCGATGCCAATACCATGACACAAGTACGGCCGCGTGGTTCCAGACTTCTCGGATGTATGATTTGCCCAAAGTGCATAAAGAAGGGGTTCCATTACGCCCAATCCTTTCAATGGTTGGATCACCGCACCAGAGATTAGCACAATGGTTAGCCAAGCTAATTGAGCCCATCCGACATATGTTGGCGGTGCACAGCTTGAAAGATTCCTTTGAGTTCGTTGAAATGAATCGGAATCTAAACGTGAGCGGTAAGCGAATGGCATTTTTTGACGTGTTTTATTTATTTACAAATGTCCCGTTGAAAGAAACGCTAAACATCAAAGCCAGTTATGTAGGTAGAATGGGGTTCCCACCACATCGATTAACGAACTTAATTCGTATCTGCACAAAAGATGTTCAGTTGTGTTTCAACAGAAATCTCTATCGATAGATTGAGGGGATAACGATGGCCAGTCTCCTTGACCCCATTTTGGCTGACATCTTCGTAGTCCATCTAAAGAACACCACGTTTATATATATATATATATATATATATATATATATATATATATATATATGGCTTACGCTACACCACCCACACGTTCCTTATCCAGTGTAAACCCGAACAGTGAACAATGATTTATCACAGACAAAAAGGCATGTGTTCATAAATCCCGTAGGATGGTTGCAGTGAAAATTAAAAGTGAAAGGATCGACGAATAAGTAAATCGTTATTTTAAGCGTCTACCGATTTAAATGCACTACTGCATAACGATAATTTGAAGTGGGAATGGGATGTACACACACAAAATAGTATAGAGCTGTTATAGTTCAGTAAATGCGTAAGAAAGAAAAAATGAAACGACTACGCTTACTTGGATGTCGTTTGCTTTGACAGATTTGGTATATTAATCCAGTTTAGATACATCCATGCTATTCACATGGACACTTTGGTATGTATCCTCACCGCCACGTGGCGGAGGGCCGTTAAACACATGTTTGGTTTGCATTATTTCGTCCTCCAAGTAGAACGGACTGTATCAAGTAATGTAAGTTGGGAAGCGTGTCATCAAGGCGTTTTGAATTGCGTCAATGTAGGGGAACGGATAACGTGAGTCGGAAGGGCATTCCAGGCACGGGACACACGGAGGGAGAAAACGTTTCGTCGACAATCAAGTCGACCCTTGTGCGTAGCCAGTTTGAGCTGATGGTCTCTCAGTTTGGCAGTTTAGCTCAGCTGCAACGGATTGCGACGAGTGAGTTGTGTTCGCCATGATGAACTCAAAAGGTCTAGTCGCTGACGTCGATATTCACCACTGCTCAATCCCATGGACTGCAGTCTACGTTGGTAGGGTAGGTGAAACAATCCTCTAATGAGTTTGGAGCTTCAAGTGCATCGACGTCACGCTTGCGCCAGGGACGCCAGGCCTGGATCGCACATTCAACGTAGGGCCTCATGTAGGCGCTCAGCATATGCGAAGATTGATGGATCAAAATTCCAGAAAGCCCACCGTAAGAGTCCAAGGTGTTGACTGGCTCTTTTTGATGCGTGTTCAGCCTGTCTCGAGCAGCCAAAGTCGTACTGCACGATCACCCCAAAGTCGTTTGCTTGGGAAGCATGTTGTAACTGCTGGTCCCCGAGTCGATATTCATAGATCAGCTGATGGCGTATGCTTACGACTGCACTTCGCCACGTTGAACTGAAGCCAGTTATCAGATGAACACGCATAAGACCTGTCGAGATCGTTCTGCAATGTCATGTGATCATCCGCTGTCCTGATATCATGCCAAATTTTGACGTTATTTGCAAATAGTACGAAATCCGACTGCAATACACAGGCAAGATCTTTAATGAATGTTAGGAATAAACGTGGCCCCAGTACCAATCCTTGGGGCACGCCACACTGGACGTCAATTGGGTCGGAAATGGAGCTGCGGACTCTCACATTAAGCTGACGCTGAGTCAGGAAGTTGCCGATCCAACCAAGCACACGTTCACCGATGCTATAGCTTCGAAACTTGTGCAGGAGAATGCGGTGGTCCAAAAGATGGAATGTTTTCGAGAAGTTCAGGTAAACAACGTCGACTTCCAATCTGGCATCGGCTGGTGCTGTCCAGCTTGCTCGAGCTAAAAGCAAGTTTGTAATGCAGGGTCGATTTCAGCGGAATCCGTATTGCTGTGATACTAGGATGTTGTTGCTCGCAAGGTATCCCATGAGCGCCTCTGTAATTATACATTTCGTTAATTTGGATAAAACTGGGAGCAGAGTGATTGGACGGTAGTTCGAGGGCTCCGCATGGTTACCACTTTTGTAAATAGGAGTGATTAGTCCATGTGTCCACATTGTGGGAACCAGCCTTTTGCCGAAACATCGTTGAACGAACCGAGCTAATGGTTCGACAAGGTTTATGGCCACTGTCTTCAACGCCTTCGGTTTGATGTCGTCCACGCCAGGTGAGCACGCGCAACGACATTAGCCTTTTAATCATATTGGCTACCGTGAACGATACGTGGTTTAATCCTGGTGGCGATGGAAGCTGTATCAAAGCGAATAAAATGAGGATTCACTCCAGAAAGTATGGATAAAGTGTTGGCGAAGCACGTTGACCGCATCTTGTGCGGTTTACGCAAGACCATTTGTTGCACATAAAACTGGGATCC